TCGATAAAGATATTGAACAAGACCGGCCCCAGTACTGAGCCCTGGGGAACACCGCTTGTGACCAGCTGCCAACTGGATTTAACTTCATTCACCACAACTCTCTGGGCCTGGCCGTCCAGCCAGTTTTTGACCCAGCGAAGAGTACACCTGTCTAAGCCAAATTTAGCATATTTCTCTAAAACAGTATAAACCTGAAGTGTATATAACTATTAACCTTAAGAAAATAACATCTGAACATATTGCAGTTGCTGGATCTAAAAATCCAGCTTCAAAATGAAGCCAGTGAAATGCCTTCTGTATTTCCTGTGATGTGATACTAACATGATGCCTCGGAATGTGAATCACACAATTCCCTCAAAAAATATTCCATCTACTATAGAAAAAACCTTGCAGGTAAAATTCATCTCCAGTCAATGAAAGTTTGGCACTTAGCCTACAATTCACATGTGCCTATTCTGCAAAGGCAATCCAGGTATGAACTACACTTTCAGAAACTAGTGGACTTTACTGCCAAGTCACGGGAAAGTAAGCAGCGAAATTCTTGAGACACTATAACCTTCAAATATTTAGACCTTTACTTCACCAGAAGGAAGTTGTTGCTAATTTTAGTCTCCAGTAAGATCACTTGTAGTCTGTATATACACCTCTATATACTTGTGATACATACATCTTTCATTCCTTATTTGACCTCTTTCCTGTTTCCTTCAGCAAAACTGTAGAATGTTTCTTCAGCTTAGGAGATGTGAAAGAAGAAAAGTGCTCAATTTCATTTTCTGTTACCACCCTTACCACTTACTCCTTTCCTTCCATCCCAAATCCTCACAACTTCCTCTTGCCACCCCCAGCTATCACCACAGTTTGCTTTGTCACCTCCTAATCCCCTCCAGAGAAGCATATGATGAGCATGGAGTAAGTGCCAAAGCTGCTCTCCAGGGCCCTGTGCAGCACTCACTCACAGCAGTTTACACAGCACGAAGAAGGCTGGCTGAGTTTTATGCTATGTGGAAGGTAAATCCATGTACACCTCTACCTAGCAATGTAAACAGAAATATCTGGGTAGGACTGGCGAGTTAAGAGATTATATGTTCAGAGAAATTACCTGAAACCTTTGACGGGTGCCATATAGTGCAATAGAGTTTAAATAAAAGTCTGACAGTCCAAATCACTACTGCAGTAGTAATCCACGAGGGCCAAATGATAAAACTTATTATTTCTCCAGTTGTGTGTTTAAAAAACGAACAAACAACCAACCACCAAAAAAACCCCAGAAAACCACAAGAAACAATTGTTACAAAGGAGGCATAGACAGCAACTACCACAATGAAGCTTAAACACAGGCTGGAGGAAGTGGAAGCAAAGCCTCACAAAGAAGCATACAATGTGGCAAGTAAAAGTGGCTGCCCAGGATTATAACGTGGGCAGTAGCTACTTTACACAAAGTCGTTGGGCTCAGACTGATGGAACAGAGGGGACCTTTGTTTCCTTACTTTTGCAACCTGCAGTGGGGGAAATAGCAGCCCTGAAAGGAGGAGACACCCAAGCCTTGGGCTTTGATGTGAGCTTGCTATTACTCACACTACACAGAAAGAGCTGCTGCCAGAGGCCTGGCAATGCAGAGATGTTTACGACGTGAGGCTGGGCTTAGACTGCACTTCCAGGTCTACCAGTTTCAGTTTGAACTAGCCGAACTCTTCAATGTTGTGGTGAATGAGTGATAAACTTGCAGTCAGGTGTATACACGATATGGAAAATATGTACACGTGTTCAGTGTGGAGTCTTTTACTAGTGTAGATTTGGGATCTCTCCGCAGAAGCAGCAAAATCTTTAAGGAATATTCAGATGCATGTCCTCACTGAATCATCTATTTGGTATTTATCAGCTTACTACTGGCTTTCAGGAAAGTCACATGGGCAGTTTTTAGTTTACAGATGTGGTAGCTGTTTGATTTACATTTGGAACTAGATAGTTATTTACCAACATGTAGTTCACCGCTCTCTCTACTGCTTTCAACAATGCAATTTCTTGCTAACTATCATTAAATCTATCAGTACTGACCAATCAACACTTGATTTGCTCATTACCAGATAAACCAGCGGTACAGATTTGTGTATGAATTAGATGTAAACACAAAAATCACTTACCTGTCAACCATGTAGCATAGGCTGGTGCTGACTGTTGGCAGACAGTAGTAGATACATTGTCAAGTCAGGATGTTGGTTTATGACCAGTGTAAGAACCTGCCATCTCCACAAGGGTGGTCTCTACACATGTCACCCTTACAAAGGGGTGATTTCCAGATGAGTCTGACTAGGAATTTGCTCTAATCGAAGACTACTTATATTCTTTCCTTTGGAGAGAGGATCAGTTGGATCAGTTTGTTGATCAGACTCCTCTTAATCGTGATTTTCGTAGCTAATGCAAAGGCATAGCAGGAGCAAACACTCTCAGATAGTGGAAAAGACAGGACCTTAGTGCAACTGCAGTGTTTGACTGACTGACAGTGATTATGAACTATCTCTTTGTATTAGTGTAAAAGACAGCATAAATTTGCTGCCACAAAGCTAACGGACCAATTCTTCCATTGCCCAGATAACGAGAATAATGGGAGGAAAGGGTAGGTGGGGAGATGACAACCAAAAACTCTAGTCTAGGATTGTACAGTGTGATGTTCATAGAATTGCATTCATAAATGTCATTATAGGTATCTGAGTTTATATTGCTATTGAGATTTTTTAAAAAAAATGGTGTTATCCATAACTATGTTTAAAACTAAACCTTGATTTAGCATAATAAACTGTTGTGCATTCATTACCAGTGAGACTTTTGCTGGCTATACGTACTTCCATCATTGGTCCTTAGCTAGCGAGCCTTTTAGGAAAGGCCTTCCACTGATTCTGTAAAACATCTATGCTATTTGTAATGCAGTAGTAATAGCTGTCATAGGTCCATTACACATTCATTCAGGATTTTTGCAACTGGCAAATTTATATATTTATAAACAGGATTTCAAAAATAAAATAGTTGGTTCATTTTTGTCTCCTTCAAACCTGGACTACAGGGGTAGTTTAAACAGAACATACCACTTGTTTACTTGATCATGCTAATAATCCTCCAGTCAAAGCCCATTTCACAAACACAAGTTACTTCTAAGATAGTACAGGTGTTTCTCAGCAACTTTTCCTTAATCACACTGCCTGTATTAGGCAGTCCAATAACATTTTGTAAATGTTAACTAATACCAAAGTTCCAGAGCACATTTTAGCACTTCAGAACACACCATCAGGAGCACTTTGGTATCATTAGGAAAATGTTGATGATTTGTTTCAGTAAGAAGTATATTGATGGTAAGAACAAAATGGAGACAATATGGGAATATACATGGGAATGGGATGAGCATTGATGGAGGGGAAAGTCAGAAAAGAGGATATACCAAAATGAGGCTGTATTAGAATAAGCAACAGTGTGTTATTTGCTCTGCTCTTACGTTATTTCCTCTTATCACTTACCACTGTCTGCTAAATAACTGACCAAACAGACCAGTTCAATCTGCTAAATAATGGACTAAATAGTGTCTGCCTTGGTGCAGACACTCTTAAATTTTAAAAGAAACCTAATTGAGCAAAGACAAATATGACTGGCAAAAAATTAATATTGTAAGAGCTTTCACCTTTTTAACAATGGGAGTTAGAAAACTTATAATCTTAACTTTCAGCTGTATAAATTTACACAGTCAACTGAAACAGCATTATACACTTCTAGCTTACTAAAATAAAGCATGATATAGTTCCCTATTTCAATTTGTAGTGTTCGTAAAATCAAAATTGATCCTTTTACAGAACTGTGTTTGAAAGAAGTACAAGTAAGAAGATGCATAAACACAGTATTCCCAAAAGGAGGCTTTTATGGGTCATCTTTTTTGCACTAAACCAATTCTGGAGAAGTAGTAGTTACCTGCAGTCAAGAGCTGAATCCCCTGTCCTACTCTATCGCATAAATACGTATCTACACATGAAGGTTATCAAGCCACTGTTCTGTCTAGAGGAAGGCTGTGTTCCATTTACTGCTGTAACCTTGTCTATTTTTCCTTCAGTCATTCTTCTATTTTCATGTTTGCTGTCTTCAAATGTTCTTCTCTCTAAAAGTACCTCTCAAGTATCATTCTTTTGTATGTCTTCAGGATTAGGGGTAGTTCAGCACCCTGAATTCTTCATTGTTTGATTCATATTTAATCTATACATCATGGTCCTGTGCTCCATCTACTTGCTGCATATTGCTTGACTTCTGCCACATTCTTTTTGAAATGGGATCCTATCATAGGCTCCTCTGTTTCCCTACAGTACTTTTCTACAATGGTCTGACCTAGATTCAAGGTCTCTGGATTGTATCAAAATACATTTAATAATAAAAATACAAGTCATAGAATCATAGAATCATAGAATCAT